TGATCTGATTCACTTAAATGCAGAATGTTGGTTCCTTGCCTCTCAGGCAGATGCATTCCTTCAAAGGAAGCTCCCAATTAGTCGACTCTTACGACATGCTTTTGGGTAGGCAGTTGGTTTATTCTTGTCTCCCCCAAAATGGGGCCCCGGAACCGACATGAGGAAACTTTTACCTAATTACTTAAACTTGTTTATATTTGTATATATAGTGCTAGAACTATATTATATAGACCAATCTGCACTCGGTTTGTGATGCGTCATCAATCCGGCTACTTTTATTTCCCAGGACTTTACCTAGTACCCATTTAAGGATGTGCAGATCAAGGAGCCTTAGGGGTGGGGGGGGGGAGCCTTGCCCCGTTTTGATTTGAACACACGACCTTCAGATCCACAGGTGATCTTTAGCCGCTACATCACAAACACACACACACACATCGATAGTTTTGGCCTCCTGAATCACCGGTGAAAAGATAAGCACACGTCAATTTGTCTTCAAAAACATCTGACGTAATTTTCGTTTGATTACTCGCTAACTAACTAACTAACTAACTAACTAACTAACTAACTAACTAACTAACTAACTAACTAACTAACTAACTAACTAACTAACTAACTAACTAACTAACTAACTAACTAACTAACTAGCTAGCTAACTAACTCACTTTCGTTTGCTTAATTGCTACGAGCTAAATGATTACCAATCTGCGTAATCATCTTCCTCTCTATATTGTATGATCCCTTCACTCAAGATGTCAGGGTTAGATGCATTTATAAATGACTAAACATGCACATGTTTTCTTTCCTAAGTACGATATCTGATTTTCTGACAACATAATGACCGTATGAGCCACATCGAGAATGTCAAGCCACAGAAGCAGATCCGTGATATTCCGTTCCACTATAATATCTTTTTTGGACCAATTACATGTATGTATTTGTCTGTTGGAGTTCAATGACTTCTCGTCTGCTACGAAATAAACAACGAGAAACAAAGCTGACTATCCTCCGCGCTGCTTTTTTCTTTTGGACGTCTCTTGGGAAAAGACCCGCATAAGTGTTTACTGGAAGTGTGGCGTCAACTCATCAACAAACACGCAGAACTGATTCAAGTAACAGTAACTCTTTCAGTAACACAGTGCAGTTCAAAAGTCGTGTCATCACACTTTTATAAATAACTCGAAAACTATACTGATCAACACAAATTTTTGTACACGACTTTAGATTTTCCATAGTATCGTGTGCTAAATTCACTTTGCTGTTCAATTGAACCAGAGGTCAAGGGCATGATCGAAAACGCCAGCCGTAAAGGCGCTAGATGATGGCGATGATAGAGATGAGTGCAAAATGTCCACGCTTCTTCACGCGTCGGCTCTGTGGCTAAGTCGATGCGAACACTTCGCTTCGTAATGCCGGGATGCCAGGTTCGATCCCAGCTGCGGGCAATGCGCCTTGCGTTGGTTTCGACAGTGGTATCAAGAAAGCCGACCGTCCAGAAAGCAATGGCAAACTACTGGACGTAAATTTGCCTAGAGAAACCACACAACAGCCAGGGTCTGTTAGGGTTGGTTCTGCAACGTCCTCTAGAGGATACGCAACAACCTTTTTTTTTTACTTCACGCGTGAGACAAATTTTTTTTTTTTTTTAGATTAGCTGATGACAGCTGCTCCATTGGTATTGCAAGACCCAAGCGTTACTAGCCGCTGAGCCGAAGGTTAACCCGTGCCCAGTCGGTGCCTCTCGGGCAGTCTTAGTGTGTGGACGCGTTGAGCATGTTTTGTTCCAGTCCAATGTGTTTTAACAAAGTGTTTTTTATTCAGTTGGAGCTCACATGAATTGTTTAATGGGTTTATTGGATCGTGAGATAAGCTTAGGAATTCTGTCTGTGTAATTTTGTGCGGCCCAAGTGTTTGGGGGGTCGGCAGTGTTGCGGCTATGGGATACGTGGTTGACAGGGTATCTGTAAAGACACAGAAGGTGCCGGTAAACTTGTGTGTGTTGAATAACGTGTAGTTGTGATGGGGGAAACGTATCGGAGGCTGATTGCCTGGATGGTAGTATGCTTCAGTAAGTGACAAGGCAGTAGACAGCGGTCTGGATTTCTGTTTGGCTTTATTTTTCACCGCATAGGAAATCTACTTTAAACCCTGAGATTGATGGGGCCCTTGGAGGGACAGCCATCATGGAGTGGTCACTGCACGTCACACAGGTGTATCTGCGTGGTCTGGTGTCAGTTGCCCGTAGCAGGCACCTGGGACATAGTTGTGCTGGGGTGTTTCGTCCACTTTTGGAGTGAATGCCGCGGTGAATGTTTGGGAAGACAGTAGATGACTTGACAGTGTGTCATCGATCATCACTCATCTTCTTCGTAACGTTTTTCGCCCATAATAAAGAGACGGATGCACTATTACAGAGATGACTTCTAATGTTTTGGTGTTGACATTGTGATTCTAGTGTTTGTAATACGGTGTCGACTGGAGAACTTTTGTATATGTGGGCGAATCATGAACAAATTCCCTATACACCTTGAAAACGTGCGATGCCTCAGACAGATCGCACGTAGCACATATCCTTATGATTTTATAATTTACAACTGTACAGATGCTGCTTTTTTCTTAAAGCTTCAAATTTCTTTGATCCTGGTTTGATTTATTAACTTATTATTTGTGTAACAACAACAACAACAAAAATTTAAAATATTTTAAAAATATCGATTCACGTATGCAGCCATTCGTGGTGACTATATTGATAGTCTCGCCCGCTTACTTTTGGGCAACTAATGATGGAGATGACCACCTGAGTGTGAAACTCCTACGAAACGCGTACACTGTGAGGATTTAAAAAAGTTTCAGTTACTCAGTAAACTGTAGGCATGCTGGTTTTTTGCTTTGAATCGGTGTCGTTTTTTTTTTCTTTCTAAATACTAAATATAGGCAAAATTTAAAAAAAAAATAGATGTTTGTTTACATTAACAAAAATTGTCTTACAAGGAATTGAAACAGGTTGCGTGCAAAATTTCAACAATACATCGAACGGTTACTGAGTTATGATTTTTTTTTTAAATGTTGGGCACAACTTTTGGAAAGGACTATATTTATGGATTCTGTAAATGTTATTGTATGGAGTTAAGTGACTTCTCTGCTATGAAATAAACGACCAGAAATATAACTGACTACCCTCACTTCTGTTCTTGTTCGACATCTCTTGGGAAAACGTCCGGCATAAATGTTGACTGGGTGTGTGACGTCAACGCGTCAACACGCAACACGTATGATCACTCGCAATAGATCGGCCCCGGTATGGGACGCAATCTTTTAGTTATTTTAAAGCCCCACCCAGGCAGTTGACGGGGGCCCTAAATTTAAACTACAGGTTGAACTGGTTCTCACTGACTTGCACATGTGTGATCCTCATCAGAATGGTGGCACGGTGTGACATCTGGTGTTTATTGATGGCCCGTTGTGCGGTCCTGATTGTGTTGAACGTCACTCACTCACGCAGAATAGATCCCAATAACAGCAATTCATTCAGTACAAGACAACTGACATGCATATGTTGATAACTCTACACATGGTACACTTTTACAACTTATTCTGTTCCATTATTTTGTTATCTTCATCGCAGTGGTTATCGTTAGTCAGTGTCTGTGGCTTAAGCGCTGCAATTGCGCTTCGTAATTCCGAGGTCCGCGGTTCGATTTCAGCTGCGGACAATTTTGCAGGAGACCGCCTTGTGTAGATTTCGTCAATCGTGTAGAGAAGAGTCCGTTTAAAACGCAATAGTAAACTACTGAACGTAAAATTTCCCTGTATCGATTCCAGGGCCCCATTGTAGATAAACAAGAACGGACCCACTACCTCTGGAACAAGCATATCGTAGAAATTAACTAGCTGGGGGGCATCCTTCGAAGCCTGAGTGCATCTGCCTGACAGACATATCTGTAAAACAGTCGGATGTGTAAAACGGATGTGTCCGCAACACTTAAGTTTTGGAACAAGTCTAAATTTCTGAGGTAGATGAACGAATAGAATTTTCCGCCGGAATTAACAGCATATGAAGGCAAAGAAGATGAGGAACGTTATATTGTTGAGTAAAGTCAAACAGAAAAAAAATTGCTTGTTTTGGTTCTGTAGCCACCTGACAGGGACGCAAAACTAGCTTTCTTTACCGTCCGTATCTGCACATGGTGTCGCCGTTATCGATGGCCTAATTATAACTTCTTCGAGGCTCAAACGGAGTATTTAGGTTTGTTCATGTAGGTCGGCCATTTATACTGAGATCTGTTAATATCATGGTCAAACCTTCAGGTAGCAGGCTGGAGAGGACAAAGAGCCCCCCCCTCCACACCCACCCACACACACACACACACGTTATCTAAAATCTTTTCTGTTAAATTGTTTCTGTAGCCAGGGGCGTCGGAGTCTTTAGAGTTACGCAGCATGAGCACCACCCCCCCCCTCACCGCCAAAAAACAATGCGTAAGGGAGTTCACACCTCTCCCGCTTCTTCTTTCCCCCAAATGTTTCTTTAATGTCGTTGCATCTAACTGCAACTCCTCCTGTATACATTTGTATTTTACAATTCCTTCACATGTATGCCCAACAGGCTTAAAGACGTGGTAAAGTGTCCTTCACCTTTTTTACCTTACACCTAAATATTGTAACTCCTAATTCTACGTGTGGATAGCTAACTTATCGTCGATCAACGACAAACTGCATTTCTGGTGGCCACCGTTGGCTTTGGCACCTCTCGCAACTGAAATTTGCATTTACTGCCTGCGCATATTTTTGGATTGTTCCTGGACTAATTGTTTGTTTACCAGTTTTTCAAATGCGACAGCAAGGGACAATTCATTTGATTTGCACTGGCACGCAAACGGGGCAAGTATGGGGAAACCCGATTGCAGTGAATTTGAAACTTCGACAAAGACGCTAAAATACAACTTAGGGTTTAAAAAAAAATGTTAAGTTAAACTGTCGCGACATGAAAAAAAGTGGCTTACCCGGGGCGTGTGATGACACATGGGGTTCTTGCATTTTCTGATCTTAGAAATGAACGACGCCATCTTCTCTCCAAGGCCTCCAAGAACTAAAAGAGTCAGCGGTATTCCAAACAGGGCGTAGACTACACACACCACCTTGCCTTCAAGTGTGAACGGGGACATATTTCCAAACCCTGAAAAAAAAATCAAATGTATTTCGTAAAATTTTATGTCAATATTTTTATCTTTATATATGTATATATGTAAGGCTGTGTGGACATGAGAGTTAAGAAAAGTTATATATATATATATATATATATATATATATATATATATATATAATATATATATATATATATATATATATATATATATATATATATATATATATATATATATATATAACTTTTCCTATCTGGCATGTCGACCCAGCCTGAAGTGGGTACCAGGTGCGAGCACTGGGAAGTAAAGGCGGCCGGCGTGATGCTGACCACATCGGTCACCAAGTCTATAAAATAGAGATCTAGCCCTATATACCCTATTCGCCTGGAGGCGTGGAAAAGGTTCCTTCACTTTTTTAAAAAACTTTTTATTCTTATCTTTATAATCATAACATTCCTATCTTTTTAAAATAAAATCTATATTATGCTCTTCATTTATGTTATCAAACAATGTTATCCACTCTGCGGGTAGAACGGTAGTGTTTATGTTCCGAATTATGCTTTTTGAGTTCGCTACACAATTACCTGTCAGGCTGAAGTATAGTGTCATTGGAAAACTGACGTGACTGCTACCACCGTCATGCTGCATGCAGTGAAAACAATGGTGTTTAAGTGCTATATACAACCTGTGTTGTTTTATGCATGTCATAAATAGACAATAAGCCGACAACCTGAAAAACTTTTAACCCGGGAAGAGATGTGGTTTTATGAGAAGAATGAAAAGGTTAACATGGAAGGATAGAAAAACGAACGAAACAGTCCTCACCGATATAAATGAAAGCCGTAAACTTATTAGAACATTTAGACATAGTGACTTTTTGAGAGCTTGGGAACAACTGGCAAGTTTGGTGGAAAGACGGCAAGAGGAAGGCAACGAGGCAAATGTCGGGACGGCCTGGCCAGATAGATAGGGGCGAGGCAAAAACACTGAACTGATCCGTGATTTTTGTGATTGTGTAAAGATGGCGAAAGATAACAGCCCGGGCTTACCGACACGGCACATGATGATAATTAGGTTTGTAAACAATATCATTCATGTCTGCGATGATACTACTCTATTAACCCTTCTCTCTCTACAAATTCATCTGTGTTTACACCATTTCACTTTTGATATAAAATGGATATTTTTAAAACCAAACCGGAACATTTGCAAGCCACCTAGGATGTTTTTCAAGTCTGATGTGAAAAATGGTCTAGATAATTTGAAAATCGTTGATTTTGATTAGAACAACTTTTACTGTGGGTTCTGGAACCCCATTTCCTGGGGAAAGAATAGACCCACTGCATGTCGTAGCAGGCGACTAAATAAGAGGGTTTTCGTCGAAGTCGTCATCTATCTGAGAGGTCCGGAACCAACAGTCTGCATACCAAAAAAAAGGCATGATCTCTAAAACGAATATGTAGCCAAAATTGAAGTTCAGAAACAAGACCAAAGTCTAGAAGGGAACGAACAACCTACACTTTCCGCGAGTGATTACTAGCCGGTGAAGGTAAAAAAAAAAGTAGATACAAAAATAAGAAGATTTGGAAAACATCCTTGATAGTTTTAAAATTTTGCAGTTTAAAAAGAGAATTACTTACATATAGAGAATATTTACATAAAATGAAGTTATCTCGGCGTAAGTTGTCACTGATTAATTATGAACCGTTGCTTTTGTTTTACCAGCTGTCTAAAAATGTGTAACGCATACATCTTGCCTATTGTAGTGCCCATGAGACAATATACATCTTGCCTATTGTACTGCCAGAGAAAACTAATAATCATGAAATAAAACTCACTGTAGTGATAAGCGCCTCTCAAAGTCCAAACCCAGGTCCAAGTCGCAAGTACAGAGCAGAAGGACGAGTGTTCGAGTCCTGAGGGAACCGGGATTTCTTCAAAAATTACCTTGGCTCCCAAATAGACCCAGCCTTGAGTGGGTACCAGGTGCAGTTCTGGGAAGCAAAGGCGGCCGGTGTGATGTTGACCATATGACCCAGCAAGTGCCGATTGGTCTATGAAATATAAATCTGGTCTAGCCCTATATGCCCAATATGCGAGTCCTTTACATGATATTTTACTTAACAAAACAGGAGATTGTTACAATTGGGAGAAGTATGGTGTGGGTATGGTAACCATAAGGTCATCCTGGGTCACCCCGAAATGTCCTGGCCAGTCAGGCTCGAGTGAAGTTGTGACGGGCCTAGCAAGTCGGCAGTTGATTATTTATTATCGCTACAGAGAGCACACAGAGACATAAACGGACTGATCCAGGAGAAGGGCGCAGAGCACAAGGTTGACCAAGAACAGGGGGGAGAGATAGCATCAGAGAAACTCTACAACAGCACGATGTGTCTGTGGAGGAGTCGGTCAGAAGAGAATAACTTTATATCTTACTTAACACTCGAAGCGACAAAAGAGGACGCGAAGAAGACGAAGTGGTAGTGACAAGCATATCACTCTTACCAGGGTCTTTTTTGTATATTGGGAAAAGGTGACAGTTCTCACCACAGTGTCCAAAAGGTTTGAAGGTTTGAGGTTTGAACAACGGATCAACATCATAGCACACGTGTAGTAATCCATAAGTGCTTCGTTCTTCTTCTTACTCAACTCTGAGTCCGAAGAAGCTCAGCACAATGCCCAGGCTCTGTAGCACCAGGGAGGATTCTGAAATACCTTTTTTAACTCCAAATTTTGCCCAGGCAGCGCCGTTAGGCTACTCTTTTCGATTTCCAACTGCCAATGGATTTTTTTACGTGGGCAACAATGCACACGGGCGTCCGATCGCACTACCCAGAAACCAGGGGAAATTACTAGAAGTCCAAGTCCGAGGGGAAAAAATCCCAGTCCTTACCGGGGATTGAACCTGGAACCTCTAGCACTCAAGGCGGACACCATGCCTCGAGACCACGAAAAATGTGCCGATACACATCAAAAAAGTGTCTATTACATAAGCACTCAAAAACAGTATGGCTAAAAGAGATATCCGTATTGGGCACCCCCATAAAAAAACCTTGATTGCACCTGTTTTTGTGACAATTGTACTAATGTAAAAAAAAACACATAACGTACTCACCTATCGTGGTGACCACAGAGACGACAAACCCAAAGGCACCACTGAAGTCCCACCTGTCCAGGTGTGTTTTATTATCAACGACGTAATTGACAATCTCGCTGTCCACAACAGCCTTCTTTAGCAGCTTGTACAGGTCCGTCCTGTTCACACATGGGTATTTGT